TCTAACTGAAGAAGTTTTTCCTAATGTTTAGCCTGAAACGGTCTTCCAGGAGTTTGTAGCCATTACTCCTAGTTTTCTCCAAGGGTCAACAGTTGTTCACCAAGCCCTTGATGTACTCCCCTGATGTAGTAGTAAGCTGCTACCAAGTTCCCTCTCAGTCTTTTCTCCTTTCCAGGCTGAAGAGTCCCGGGTCCCTCAGCCTTTCCTCATATGGCTTGGTGTGCAAGTCTCTGATCATACGGGCGGCCCTCTTCTGGACTCTCAAGTTTTACCACAACCTTGTTAAAATGCGGCACCCAGAACTGGACACCAGTACTCCAGCTGGAGTCTCACCAATACTGAGTAGAGCATAAAAATCACTTCCCTTGTTTTGCTGGAGATGCATCAATTGATACATGCCAGAGTGTTATTTGCCCTGCTGGCTACAGCATCTCACTGACAGCTCATATTCATACTGTGGTCTGTTATTACCCTCAGGTCCCTTTTGTTTGTGGTGTTGGTCAGTTTGGCATTGCCAATCCTGTATGTGTGTAGGGGGTTGTTTGTCCCTAGGTGGAGCACTTTACATTTCTCAGTGTTGAACTTCATCTGGTTCTGACTCGCCCAACTTGCTAGTCTGTCTAGGTCCACCTGTATCTGCAGCCTATCTTCAAGCGTGACCACACTTCCCCATAACTTGGTGTTGTCTGCAAACTTGGCCAGTGAGCTCTTTACCCCCACATCCAGATCATTGATAAAGATGTTGAAAAGTACTGGACCAAGCACTGACCCCTGTGGGGCACTGCTGGCCAGGATAACGCAGATCCATTCATTAGGACTCTCCAGGTCCTACCTCGCAAACAGCTTCATGTCCACGAAACTGTCTCTCAGTTGAACCCACAGTCCTCCAATTTTCTTCCAAGAACATCATGGGATACCAAATGAAAGGCTTTTTGAAAGTCACAGTATACAATGTCAGCCTCTTCTCCGGACACTTATCCAGGTGGCGAGTTACCTGGTTGTAAAAGGAGATGAGGTTGGTAAGTCAAGACCTGCCAGTGACAAAGCCATGCTGGCTGTCATTCAGAATCCTACCTTCTGCAAGCCTATCGTGCGTAGACTCTGTAATGAATTTTTCCAGGATTTTCCCTGGGATAGAAGATAGGCTAATAGGCCTATAGTTACCCAGGTCCTCCCTCTTCTCCTGTTTGAAGATGGGCATAACATTGACCTTCTTCCAGTCCTCAGGGACCTCTCTGGGGCACCACAAGTTTTGGAAGAATTTTGCCAAGAGCTCTGCAATGACTCCTTCAGCACTTGCATGGAGTTTATCCAGTCCTGCTGACTTATATATGTCTAATTTATTTAATTGATTACATACCAATTCTATAGCAGTAGTAGGAAGGCAGTCATTCCTGCCCTGCTCATTCTGTACCCTATCTGGAATGTTTTTCCCCTTGCCTTGGTGAAATACTGGAGGAAAGTAGTCATTCAGGAGTTCAGTTTTCTCCCGAGTGCCAGTAACCAGCTGTCCTGAGTTGTTGAGCAGTGGCCCTGCATTCCCATTTATTTTCCTCCTGTTCCCTATGTACCTAAAGAAGGTTGTCTTGTTGTCTTTGATTCCCATTGCTAATTTAAATTCAGTTGCTGCGTTAGCCTTTCTAATTTGTTCCCTACAAGTGCATGCTGTTGTTGTATAGTCCTCCTTGGGGCCTGTCCCAAGCTTCCATTGTTTGTCCTCTTTCTTCTTTCTTAAGAGGACCGTGATTTCCCTGTTTAGCCAAGAGGGCTTCCCAGCCCTTCTAGTACCTTTCCTCCGCATGGGAATGAACTTCCTGTGTGCTTCAAGGACTGTGTTCTTAAGGAACGACCACTCTTCGTGCACTCCTTTTGCCCTTGGTCCCTGGTCCTGCAGCGCTACCCCTACTAGTGATCTGAGCTTGTTGAAATTTGCATTTTTGAAGTCCAAAACTTCAGCCCTGCTATTTGATTTGTCTGCCTTGCGACAGACGCTGAACATGATGATTTCATGGTTGCTGTCTCCCAGGCTACCCTCTATATTCAAGTCACTCACCAGGTCGTCTTTGGCCAAGACCAAGTGTAGGAGAGCATTACCTCTGGTTGGCCTGTGCACCTCCTGAGCCAGGAAGAGTTCATCAATGCAGGTCAGGAAGGAAGGAATGCAACTGGTCCAACTTGGCTGAGTGTTCCTCCAGAGAGATGTCTGGATAACTGAAGTCGCCTGTGATGACCACGTCCCATGCACACGCAGCCTCTGTCAGTTCTCAGGCAAACTGTAGATAGTTCCTCCCCCTGGTTTGGTAGTCTGTAGTATACACCTACAGTTAGGTCTCTCAGCGGCCACACCCCCTCCCTCCTCCCGCCCCCCGTAGCTTGACCCAGAGGGTTTCAAGCCGTTCTTCTTTGGAGCCGATGTCGGCCTCCAAGGAGGTGTGCTGCTCCTTCACATGGAGAGCTACACCTCCACCTTTCTTCCCTACCCAGTCCCTTCTGTGCAGGGCATAGCCCCCTATTAGCTATGCTCCAATTGTGTGAGCAGTCCCACAAGGTCTCCATAATCCCTGCTAGGTCTTAATGACCACTGGAGAGCAGAAGGGCTTGCTCCTCCTGCTTCTTCCCCATGCTCCTGGCATTAGTGTACAGGCACCTGAGTCCTCCTATTGAGACCCTCGGCTTCCTGTTACGCTGAAGGAGCACTATTTCCTCAGCTCCTGCAAGAGTGGCTCTCCTAGTGTCTGTATATACAGAGCTTTCTTGCGTGCCAGTCCCCAGGCAAGCTCCAGTAAGTGTTTTCCCCGTTCCCCAGCAATCTTAGTTTAAAGCCCTATCTAGAAGATCAGCCATCCTGGCTGAGAACAGGGACTTACCTCTCTGCATGAGGTGGATACCGTCCCTTCCCAGGAGTCCTGTCGTGCTGTGGTCAAAGATGCCAAAGTCCTCATGGTGGCACCACTATCAGAGTTGTCGGTTTACTTCCTCGATGCATCCTTCCTTGGACCATGGCCTGCAACTGGGAGCACACAGGAAATGACTACCTGGGCCCCTGACCCCTTGAGCCCAGCCCCCAGAGCCCTGTAGTCACTCATGACCCAGTCTGGATTACTCCTGGCTATGTTATTTGTTCTCACATGGATGAGGAGCGTGGAGTAGTAGTTGGAGGGGTGGATGAGCCTGGGGATCCTCTCCACAACATCTCAGATGTAGGCCCCAGGGAGGCAGCAGACCTCATGGGCTAGGTGATCCAGACAGTAGATGGGACCCTTGGTGCCTCATAGGAGGGAGTCCTGCACCCCCACCACCTTGTGCCTTCTCTTGGGGGTGGCAGCATGTTGCTTACCTTTTCATCTGGTGTCACCATTGGAGTCTTTTCATGCATGGGGAGGGGAGTATACCTGTTGTCCAGGGCCAGGGGAGGAACAGCCCTGGCTCTGCATTTCCTAGAACATGAGATAACTGTCATCCAGGTAGCTCCAGGTGGGTCTTCATGGTTAGCCTTCTCATTGACCACCATCTCTATCTCTTTCTCTTCCTTCTTCTGGAGAAGCGCCTGGCAGTAGCCACAATAGCACAGATTTTGCTATATTGCAAAATCCAGCTTCAGTGGGATGCATCAACCTTGATTATCTGTTAGCCTGACTCCTAGAGACTTCTTTTCTCTCCAGTCAGTACTTAAAACAAATTCCAGAATGTGGACATGTCTACACAGGCATATTAATGTGATGCAATAAACTCTAGTGCATATGGTGCTGGAGCTTCCTGCTCCCAGGCACTATGTTTACACATGTGCCTTGGGATCATAGGATGTCAAGCCAAGTTGGAGCAGCCCCAGCTGGCTGGGGACCCTGGGGGTCAGCCTGTCAGCCTGGGGCTGCTCCAACCAGGCTTAACGTGCTACAGAGGGGCTGGCTAGGGCATGAGGGTGCTTCAGTGCAGGGCTAACTAGCAGGCAGTCCCTGCACTGAAGCAACTAGTGCCCCAGCCAGCCAGGTCAGAGTCTACATGTGTGTTGCTAATCTGCTATGGAGTGTATTCGTTTCCTGCAACCTAATAGGGCTACACATATAGAAGCGGAGACATTTAGTGCAGAGCTGATTAGGCAACTTTACAGTAAATGTCTCATGTAGACACATCCTGTATGTGTTAATGTCCAGAACCTCATGGTGTGGCCCACTTTGTAATGGAAATAGGTCCCTAGCCAAATAGAATTAAAGAAACAAACTTACCTGCATCGTGGTACTGTTCAGGAACCATATTATATTAGGCTCTGTTCAGATCTGATAAGACACATGCAGCCTTCTTTTTTCCCCCTTTTGCTGTAGAGTGAATTTTGCAGTGACAAACCCAAGTCTGGGGCAAAGTATGGGCTTCCTGAGTTGCTGGCTATCCTGTCAGAGATGGGAGAAGTCACCGAGGGAATGATGGACACAAAGGTAACTTTGAAGGAAATATTGATGCACTCTTGATGGACTTGGCTGTTTGAAGGCTGGAATTCATAATGAAATCCCTCATTGAAATTACAGCAGGGGAGCTGAATGCTCCATCATTTTCTCCTTCAGGGTATCTAGAGGAACAAAGACCCTGAAGCATTTTCTGTCCCATGAATTTGGATAAAGTTGTCATTTTCTTCGTTTTAGTAACTTAGCAATTTTATTATGCAGATATGTGAGCTTGGGACTTCACACTGGCATTTGAAAGGCTTAAGCTGGTAGGATAATATTAGAATGGCCAGACGGTGGAATATTATAGGCCCGCAGTGTACTCCCTTATAATGATTCTGACTACTGGATGAAATATCAAGCTATACTTGGACTCGGTCTTTTCTCCTACCCTGAGTTGCTTCAGCAGTGGGGCTGCAGCTTATCTGCGTTGAGCTCTTTTTCTACCAACAGTCACTAAACATGTTGCCAGTTTAAATTTTAGTCACGAAGGTGCCTCAGGCATATAATTCTTTTCCAAGACTCCAAAGCAGACCTACGTGAGCAGGTTGGTTGTTTAGGAGTTGGTCACAGGAAAAACTAACCCCAGTTTCTCTCTTAGATGATACATTTCCTCTCACACTACGCTGACAAGATTGAGTCCGTCCATTTCTCAGACCAGTTCTCCGGTCCAAAACTTATGCAAGAGTATGTATGAAATTAATCTTTCTCTCAGCTATTATAAAAGAGTATTGGGCAACCATATTGAGTAATATCTTTTTTAACACGTTTTATTAGGCTGTATGAAAATCAACAGCAATAGCAAAACAGTTGAATAAACTGTGTTAGATCACAAGCTTCTAAAATTTTCAAAGGCTGGCTTGTTTATAAAAATTAGGTTGCCTGCTTCCCTCCTATTTGCTTCTGTACATTGACTGCATTGGAACTCTGGTTGCTCCAAATCTCAGCTTAGCAATTGGTTATACTGTGCAAGATTACTGGATTTCACTCCTTGTGCAGATAGCTCAGTAAAGAAGGAATGGAGAGCCTGAAAATGCAAGTGACAAACTATATTAATAGCTGAAAAACCATGACTAAGCATGTGCTCTGTGTGCGTGAATTGCATCATTTAGTTGATCACGGTCAGCAGTTTTCATAAAATCTGTCATCATTTCCCCAATTTCTTAACCATGTTCTTTTAATTATTCTGTACTTGATTTGTATTGTGGCCATTTTTGTCCCCTGTTGTCTTCACTTTCTTGTTTTGAAAATCCATAGACTCTTATGACTTTTTTCCATTGTTTCAGGCCTATTTTTTTTAATGCTGCTAGCTGCATCAGAAGTGCCAAGAGGCAGTATATTTCTTTATCTGAAGTGAATGCTACATCATTTAATAAGCCCATTGTACTGGGAACCACTTATGGCAGGGGTGTCAAACAAATGGTCTGTGGAACCATATGAACCAGCCTGTGAGGGCACACTGGCCCTGATTGCCTGCTGTGTGCAGCTGGTAGGCACTTTGTGCAGCACAGGGCCAGCACTGGTTCCTGTGCTGGCCCTGTGCTGCACAAAGTGCCTACACGCTGCACACGGGCTGGACCCAGCGCTGCATGTAATACGGGGGTCTGGTACGGGCTGCATGCAGCACTCCACTGGACTGGCACTGCCTGCTGGCTCTGAACACAGGTGGCCTGAGGCCTGATCTGGGCTAATATGGTGGGGCACTGCACACTGTGTACCCTGTGCTGGACCTGGCAGGATAGCACACGCAGCATGAGCCAGCATTTGCGGCTGGTCCAGCATTCTGGTGTATGCAGTGTTTCATGTTGGCACCCTATACTGCATTCTTCCCCCTCCCACCCATGGGAAGGCTCCAACTGACCTCTGAGGGTGGGAGGAGGGAGTGGCACCTCTCTCCCCATGGCAGGATCTGGGCACAGGAGAGGTCCACAGTCCCAGTTCAGCCCCTGTCTGCGGGGGCAAGGGGAAGCTGTGGCTTTGCAGCTGGGCAGCACACCATAGTGGCTTGGCTGTGCTTCTGCCCCCTGTGCTGCATGTTTCACTGTGTCCAGCCCACATGCTGTGTACAGCACAAGCTGAGGAGCGGGTCCAGCATGTGCTGTGTGTGGTGGCATGTGGGCTGGACCTAGTGTCATGGTCACTGCATGTGGCACAAGGGGGTAAGTCCAGATCTGGCCTGCAAACTGGTCCAGTGAACCTTATCTGGTCCATGGGGGCAGATGGTTTGACATCCCTAGCTTATGAGATCTATTTAATACTCAAAGATGAGGAAAAATACTTATCTGATCCAAGTATAAAACTACAAATATGCATAATATTGACATCAGTAGGCTCCCAAGTATCCTGCAGAATTTATGGACTTGTTTTCTGTTACACCTGAGGATTCATGTTTAATTAACAAATTTTGCTCTGGGGCTGACCATTCAAAGTTAGCCTGATGCAACAAAATTCCTATAGTTCACAGAAGACAAAGGGTCAAGGGAAATATGCAGAGAATAACATTTTTATGGAGGGTGGCATTGGGGCTTTATCAGAGGAGAAGGTTCTAAAGGAGTAATCTGAGTAAAAATCGGATTCTGCGACTAAATTGATAAATCTTGAATTTCATATAAATTGTTTGCTTTTAATTTTTTGGCACTTCCATTGTTCCATGTTAAATCATGGTTTGACTTGTGGAACATGGCAAATAAAGAAAATTGTAAAACTGAATTTCTTCAATAACATGCATGAGTCCTCTTACTTGTACAGAGAAGAGGAGGAAGAAGCTGCACTGTTGCTGGAGGGGATGTAATTTCTCCTCTAGTCAGCAACTAGGTTGTTCTGCTTGTGTATTTTTGCCATTCTTGATGCTTTACCTAACACACTGAGCCTCAGAGGAGCTGTGTGGCAAGTTGGTGTAAATTTAGGGTTACCATATATCCAGTTTCATAAAAGAGGACACCTGTGTGGGGGGTTGGTATATGACTGGAGGAGCCACACGCCAGTGCTCTGCCCTTACCGTCACCCCTCACTCCCAAGCCACAGCCCCTCCCAGCCCTGCTTTTGCTCCTCACTCCTGACCTGCAGACCCCTGGTCCTCCCCCCTCGCCTCCAGTCCACAGTACCCCAGTCCCTGGGCTATGCTGGTGCCCCTCACTCAACCTGCAGTGCCCCTGTCCCTGATGCTGCCCCTCAGTCTCAACCTGCAGCTCCCTGGCACTGCCATAGCCCCACACTCCAACCAACAGTACCCCAACCCGCCCGGTGCCCCTCACACCCGAGCCACTGCTGCCCTAGCCCTACCAGTGCCTCTCACTCGTGACCTGCTGGGCCCCTGTGAGGAAGGGCACTAGCCCTGGTGCTGCCAGCCTGGCCATGCAGCTCCCTGCTGCCTCCGAAGGGCTGCCCTGCCCTGCCCTCTTTCCCCTCTGGAGGGGCAGGCGCCTCCCCCACCGTGCTGCAGCCTTGGCTCCCGGACATCTTCCCCAAGTGCTGGCAGGCACCCATCCCCC